CTCTCTCTCTCTCTCTCTCTCTCTCTCTCTCTCTCTCTCTCATGCACGCGCGCGCGTGCGCGCGCGCTCACACACACACACAGAGACCATGAACTCTTTATGAAGCATGTTCTGAGATGCTTAGTATGTTGCTGGTTCCATTAATGATTCTGACCCAAGGGTAAGTCCTTGCCATTTCTTCGTTTGATGACCCCTTGTCATCACTCACACCATGCCATCTCAGGAATGTTCTTCAGGATCTTCCGATATGGGCTTTCTGTCACCGCTCTACCCCGGGGAAAGGGGAGGGAGGGAGGGAGCAGGGAAAGGAAAGGGGGGGGTGACTGATTTCAGAACCTCCAGAAAAACAAAACCTTATCAGGACATCCTTTTCACTCACTTAACACTTAGAATGTTCTGTCATCCACCCCTGCTTAGGCAGATGTGCATCTATGGCTCCTTAAAGGGATGTTAAGCGCACTAGGATTGAAGGTTTGCTTGCTTGAAAATCCCCTCAAAAGAGATTCAGTCAACATTTTTCTGGTTTAACTTGACTGATAAGACTGCATAGCTAAGAAAGAAAGAGCAGATAAATGGTGCTTTTGAAGTAGACAAATTCACTCATTCCCCCAAATTGTACAGAATCTCCAGATGTCATGTCCACATATCTCCATCCCAGCTGATAGAGCTTATTGCCCTGTGCCTATGCGCTACCATCAGGGTACCAGTTAATACTTTTGATGGATTGTAGAATCATGGAGGATAAAGTTTTCTGAATTGTCACATATAGAGAAGAGATCCTATTTCCTAGACGTCATATGAAAAACAGGAGTAGGTATCTTTTGTGTGAAAATCAGAAATGGTGGTCACGCAACCATTCAACACACATCTACCTGGCCCTGCTAAGCACTTTGGAACTATGTTCACCACTGGGGATATGATAATAAAGACATGTATGTTCTCTTTCTTTGTGTGGGACTCAGAATACATAGGTGAGTGGCTAAATTAAATAATCGTGCAGTACAATAAGGACAAGAAAAGACTTAAGTCTAACTTGTAAATATGCATTGTTTACTTTGCTGTTGCTGTAATAAAGTACCAAGAGCAAAGCACCTTATAGAAGAAAGAGTTCATTTAGGCTGACGGTTCTAGAGGGAGAGTCCATAATAATAACAGGGTAACCATAACAACAGGAGGCCAAGGCAGGAAGCTGACAGATGACATCTTCAGCCATAAACATGAAGCAGAGAACAAACTAGAAGTAGACTGAGACTATCTACTGTCAGAGCCTGCCCCCAGTGACAAGCTCCTCCCCTCCTCAACCACCCCAAGCAGTACCACTAGCTGAGGACCAAGTGGTCACAGGCCTGAGCCTGTGGGAGACCACTTCCTATTCAAACCAGCGCACAGTGGGAAAAGAGGCTCTGGCTTAGAAAGGCTTCTCCCAGCAAGAGACAGTTTCCAGAGCTGACAGACACAGGACCGTGAGTGGCAGGTTCACAACACACACACACACACACAC